TCCCACCACTTATATATATATATATATGAGATTAGCAGTGGACGCAAACACGCAAAGTGAAGAAGTCACGTGAATGGAAAGAAAGTGAAAGTGTGTTGGACTTGAAGCATCGATCAGTCTCGTGGTGCTTTCAAGAGAAACTGATCGACCACTGAACCTGTCAGATTCAGTATCGCTACACTTACAGAGATTCGCGACGTTTTGACGCCAGAACATGCAGAGCTTTTACAATGTAAGTGTCCATGCTTTTGGTGTATTTTGTGTGCTGTTATACCAATAGTTGTGTTTCTGTTTGTGGGGAAACTAAACCCTAAATGAGTGAAGTAAAGTGATGAGGAGTCACCGTGTCAATGCTGATATCATTTATTAAACCGAAAATTAAGATTAGTTGTGCGATATTTCTTATTGGGATTTTTTATCAATACAGCCGACATTGAAAGTAATGGAGTCGGCTGTATCGTGGTCTTGTGTGTCTGTCACATTACAGCTCTTCTGTCTGATCATCAGGTTCAGATGCTTGAATCTTCTGCTGCTGCTGTTTTGTCTCGTCTATCAAAGCGGTCAGTATCATTTGTGTTTATAAATTGTGACAATTTTTGGTTTTCAGTGTCAGGTAGTTATGTTTGTTTCTCTTTTGCACAAAGTGACTTTGGTTGACCTTGTGGATTGATTATGGAAATATGGAAATTCCCCACCTTGTTACACAATAACACTCATCTATGCAGTTAATTGCAGTGTATCTATTAATAAACACTGCTCAGGAATTCACTACAACTGCTCTGACACATTAGAAATGTTAAAATGTGACACTGCTAATATTTTTTAATCAATTCTTTGAACTGTTGTTCAAAATGTTCATATGTTTGTATGTTGTGCTTCTGTTGTTTTATTATGTTTACTGTAATTTGTCATGGTCCTCGCTATTTTTTTTATTATTATTATTTATTTATTTTACTGGAAATACTGTAGTTGTGTTCAGATCTTGCTGTATTTCCAGAAGTCTGAACATAAAAATCCAGTTTTCAAGTCAAGTGAGCTTTGTCATTCTGCTCTGTAGAGACATATAAAGGATCGAATTGTCATGCCTTACAGGACCAGGGAGCTACATAAACCTACACATAGCTAACCTATTTAAAGAAGCAGCCTAATGTAATTATACATAGGCTATACTTTACATATACTTTAAACAAATTTTGGATTCACACAAACGTGTAGTGCAGTGGTACAGAAAGACACGATCTACTTTTCAAGCGAGATTATCAAGAGAGATTATGATCTTTTATGTCCTTGTACAACAATAAAGCATGCCCACTACAAGGCTGTGCTGATTGGCCAAATTATATCATGTGTCTTTCATGCTTGATGACTGTAATGTTTTTTCTGTTGTTTAAGTGCATCATCCGGGTATTTAAAGTGCAACAGTAAAAGAACCAAAACCCCAGAAGACATTGAGCAAATAAAAACGGCATAGAATTGTGCATAAATATGCGAATTGGGACGCACTTAGGGTGTCGCTTCTCGCACACTCAGTGCATATGACTGGCCACACCGTGATTACATCATTTTTGCTACACGCACCTTTGCACTCATACGAACGTTGCAAGTAAACCTGCTGTCTGCTGTCGTCATATGATATTTTGGGAAGATCACCCACACTATTCAACAAGCTGTGCCACTTCCTTTCTGTAGTGTTTCGTCATTGTTGCTGATGAGGCCTACCACAACTGTGCCAATTGTCATAATTGGGGTCAGTGCTAAGGGACGGTAGTCATTCAAGGAATGAGGCCTGTTTATTGGCTCTGAAAGGCCAATAAGACACAATACTATCCTTAAAGCTGAACCGTTCTTAGCATTGAAGAAAGTGAGGAACTTTCATTTAGCAGACATTTTTATCAACTTTAGCAGCTGCACAACTGCAAAACAGATCATGGCTTAAACCAGCAACCCTGATCTTTACAGGCATTACTGATGCTAAATATTGCATGGGGGAACTCCACCATCAGTTCACGACTGTCAAAGCCACATGGATATAAGTTAAATGTGTTAAGCACACTCTAAAAAATGCTGGGTTAAATACAACCCAGCACTGGGTAAAATATGGACAAACCCAGCGATTGGGTCGTTTTGACCCAGCAGTTGGGTTACTACCCAGAAGGTTGGGTTATATATTTAACCCAAGAGTTGGTTGAAAACAACCTAATCGCTGGGTTTGTCCATATTTAACCCAGCATTTTTTAGAGTGCATAAGACCTTGATTATGGACAATAAACGTAAACACCAGTCAATGATACTTTGTATTGAATTAATACTTTTCTGTCTGTTTGCAGAGACCCCCCCTGTAGGATCCCACTCTGTGACAAGAAAAAAGGCAGACAGTTTCACACTGTCATGTAAAGTTGAGGACAATGAGATTATTTATTTAATCAGACAGTCAAAAATCATCCTTGTCTGTCAGAATGAAGAATGTGAGAATAAGACTGAAAATGTACAAGGAGTCTGTAAGAAAGGAGCCTGTGACGTCACCATCAAGAATCTGAGCTTTAGTGATGCTGGGAAATATATTTTGAGGTTCAATTATAAAAATGATCCAAAAGAGAAGGAGCAACGAAAGGAGAAGACGTACCGACTTCATATTCATGGTAAAGTATTTATATTTAGTAATTAACAGCATACACACTAAACTGGACACATCTCGCCTATGCAGGCTTTTCCATTATGGCAGATTTTTAAATGATTACATTCGGTCCCCCAATCCTAAATATGTGTTTATAGCATTGATTAAAAGCTTAATGTCTGTCTGTTTCTCCTCAGATGAGGTTTCTGTGAAAATCGGCGAGCAGCTGAAGTTGGATGTTCTTTCCAATGCTGATAAAGTGCAGCATCAGAACGAAACCAGCGCAGAGCGGACGGAGATCTGGAGCAGAAGTGACAGAGTTCAGAGCGATCGACTGACCGACAGTGATGGGACTCTGACCATTAATAACTTTACAGCCAGTGATGCTGGAACATACAGCGTTCTGGACACTGAAGGAGAAATCCTGATCACAGTGACAGTCACAGGTGAGAGAAGCTCAGCGGAAGTTTAATCATATTATTTTTAATTTTAAAGTTTATCCATCATGATCTGAACATCAAACTGTGTTATTAACCCTTCAATATCCTCTACAGAATCTAGAAGAGAATCAAAGGGAAAACTGGACGACACTGAACAACATAGTAAGTAAAACAGGAGCCATTGAGAGCTTTACAGAATCTTTAATCAGTTTGTTTAAACATGAAAAAAACTTTTGAAATAAGTATGCTCTCTTCCTATCTTCCCCCTTCCAGCTGTAGAGAACTGGATTGTGCCAGTTGTAGTGTGTTTGGTGATTCTGGTGGCTCTGGTTGGGATTATGATTTCTGTCATCATATGGCGACGTCGGCACAGAGGTTATGAGCAGGGGCGAGTACAGGAGAATCCAGAGCCCCCACAGGAACCGGAGGAACTATAATGATCTTCACTGAACGTGATTGTGATTCTGCACACGGGTCCTGAACACCTGAGACACCAACAGGATTCTGTCAGCATGCACCTGCAGCTGGGGGTGTGCCAAAATTTTTTTTTTTTAAATTGTGCTCTCTTCCCACTTCCCCCTTCCAGCTGTTTGGGTTTGGATTGTGATTGGTGTTGTGGGGGCTCTGATTGCGTTTACTGTCATCGTGATACATCAGCGTCTGAACAGGAACAAAGAACATGATTCCTACCTAGAGGTCCCAATGCAGTAAACTGTACAGGGGCCCAGATCACCTAACGACAGCAAGGGTTATTATTAATTTGCTTTTAGAGCCAAAAGATCAGCAGAGGATCCTGTCAACAAATCATTCCTGACCCAATCAGCTGATTAAAGCAATCTGTTGAATGAATGACTTTATGATGCAGCAAAAAGTTATGTATGTCCATCTACTGGTCCGTTTAGTTTCACATTTAAGGTAGCATTTCATTTTTAAAAAATCTTTCAAAATGTCAACATTTTATACATTCATCTCCTAGCATTTTTTTATGCAAGTGCAGTGTACTGTAGATGTTAGTCTACATTAAGCCCTGAGATAGAAGTCAAACTAATGTAATTTATTTTGTGACAAGCAAACGTTCTTTTTTCAAACTGTTTGCAACATTACTATCCTTTGCCAGTCACATGCATTTTTAAACTTCACTTTGTTTTTAAACTTCTGTAGCACCATGCTGTTGCCTTTTATTGCTTACTAGAGCATTTGCATGGCATTATTCTTTGTAAAGCTCTATTAAAATAACATGTATTGAAAAAAATACTTTTCCAAAAGTTTTTTGAAGCTTGTTTGCTTAAATTTCACAATTTCTTTTAATAGAGTATATATTTTTTAATTGTTTTTATAATGTATTTTGATATGGAATTTTATAATTTATAATTTTATAATGTCATTTTGTAACTTTTGAATGTTATTTACTTTACAGTCTAGAGGCAGCACAATGTTGGGTGGACTTTATGCACTTATTGTTCATTAAAAAATGTATTAATAGGTGTTTCGTACTAAAGTCCTTCTTATTAATTGTGACTGTGAAGCTTTTGAACATTAATATGTTTGTGGTTGCAGTGAGTAAACACTGCAGATCAAGCTCCATGAGTAAATATTGGTGAAACACTATACAACAGTAAACCTTTTTTATAAGTGAATTAAACATGAGACAATGTTCTTCATCAGTATCTGGTGAAAGAGTTTTACTGTTGGGATAATTTGAAGTTTACCATTATTTTGTGTTGTATTCCACTCATGTGTATCTCAGGGAATGTGAATGAAAATTAAGATTTTCTATGCAGTATGTCGTTCCATTCTACTGTCTGTATATTTAAACATATGATAATAAATGACTTTGCTGCTTTAAGTTTTGTGACTCTTTCCTTTGATCACTGAAGCTGTTAAAAGCTAAATCGACTGTGACTTGTTCAGAATTGCAGCGTAAGCTTCCTGTCTCACATTACCTCAGAAAACAATCACTTCCTCCTTCAAAGAACAACAGAAAACATGCCCTGTTCTGAAGTTTGACCATGACACTTAACCATTAGTTAATATGACTGATAAGATATAACTGCAGTCTATGTAAAGTTATATATGATACACTCTCATAAACAACATGTTTTGTTTTAAATATAGACATAATTGTCAATTTTTGCAACCAAAAAAAACTACCATTTTGTAATATGGTCAAAATGTTTAATATTTATCTATGGACTTACAAATCTACACACACTTAGCCGAGTGTCTATGCAAGCTAATAGACCATAGACAGCATATGCATTGGAAAAGTAGTTTGATGCAAAAACATAGTTGATGGAGACTAATTCTCTGGGAAGGAAATGGAAACTTTTTGTGGTTATAGTGTCTCTGCATTGTACTGTAACCTCTAGTTTGATTAACACCTTTATGCACGACAAACACAATGGCGAAAGTCATTTTCTTCTTCTGTGTATTTTCTTATTGGATTATGCCTATTATCTCATCCAATGGTAAATATATTTTATTTCAAACATTATGCATTTAACTTATCAACCTTAAATACTATATCTATCATTTTAACATGGTCTAAGGATCAGTTTTTATAATGTCTCTCCAGATGCGTCAGTGCGAGGATCTTCTGATCTGCTGAGAGTTCAGATGGGAGAAAACATCAGTCTGAACTGCAGCATGAGAAACAAATATGAAGTCTCCTGGTATCACCTGAGATCTGAACAACTGGATCTACTGATTGCAGCAGAGAAGGACAACACAGGAAGAAAACTTATGACCAACTACAAAAAAAACAGTACTTTAGTGAAATTGACTGCAGACACATGGGTCACCAGAGTCTCTCTAGAGATTTCTGGAGTAACAGAGTCAGATTCAGGTCTTTATTTCTGTGGAACAAAGTCTGACGCTCCAGAGATGTTCTTCAACAAACCCATCAGACTAGAGATCGAGGGTAACAGATTTCAGTTTTTCCATCATATCTTAACAAACTTGTCATTGTAGGGGGACCTTACAGAGCAATAGTTTCTGATTTAATCCATGAAACTAGTTTTGTTGGCATAAATGCATAGGTTGATATATATTGAACAAATATTTCACATTCCTTTCAGAGTAAATTTTCAGACCACAAACATACACCTACCAAACCTTTCTTGATCTGAAAAACAAATTCTAAAGGTCCTGAAATGCCATTATCAATTTTATTGCATAAAGGACAACTTAAAAACTACTGAAGCACATTTTAACCCAGTCTTCAATATTCAACTAACAACAGTTTTGTGTGTAAACTGATCATATGTTTACAGGTCTTACTGTAGTACAAGAGACAAAAGAAGTTGACATCAAAGGTAAATGATGTTTAATTCATTGTTCGTGCTCTGCTGTGGAGATCCAGCACTAATTCTAGTCATCATTTAACACTTTCTGTTGTACAAACATGAATAATTCTCTGTCTGTGTAGACGAGGTGACGGTGATGGAGCGTGTGCTGATGTTCGGTGGTGTTGGTCTGGCTGCGTTAGTGTTTTTTCTGGCTACAGTCATTGCAGGAGGAATCCTTCACTACCGCGGTTGGCAGAAAGGATGGGCCGCAGCCAAACATGCATCTCGGATTCATCACAGATCAGCTAAATAACTTCTACTTAAGCTTTATTCTAACTCAATATATCCCTGAGCTTTGCATTGCTGTATCATGAATTAAAGCAGAAAACTGTGGCTCAGATGCTTTTCCTGTTGACCAGATTTACTTTCACTTTAAAAAAGCTGAGATGTTGTGGCAAATGTTGCATTTTTTCAATCATTAATGGTTGTGTGGTTCATTTGTGGTTGTCACATTTAGTTAAATATAAAAACACTGTTAATAATAATAATAATACGTTTAATTTATATAGCGCCTTTCCCAAGCTCAAGGACGCTGCACAATGACAAAAGCAAAAAACAATCATGTCGTACATAGATGGACAAGACATTTGGCAAGTCCAGAACGTGCGGTTGCAGTTGCATACCACATATCATTAAAAAAAACAACAACATTATAACAGGTAATATTGGTTGAACATATAGGTTTTGAGTTTAGACTTAAATTCGTGGAGTGTGGTTGCTGTCCGAAGAGCCGGAGGCAATGTGTTCCAAAGTTTGGGAGCCATAACAGAGAAAGATCTACCTCCCATATTGGCAATATGGCGATGGTATAACAGGTAGATGCATTACAATCCACATTACAGTCAGAGGATGATTCGCTGAATTAATAATTTGGTAGTTTGTTTTTGTATTTCTGCCGGTAAAGTGATTACAACAAAATATCCACATTCTTAGAATTAGAATGTCTGATCAAGTTATTATACCCGATCACAAATACACAAAATAATGATCTTTAAAATAGCATCATATGACCCCTTTAAAACCATATTAATAGTAGGCCTATAAATTGTTTAAAAATGATATAAATGTTCTAAATGAGTGGTTTATAAGTATATAATATAGATTAATGCTGTAAAATATTAAAATAAATGTCTAATACTTATAGGGGAGAGTGGGGTAAGATTAGCCATTTTTTACTTATGTGGTCCTCAAGGGAAAATGACGCAGAAGTACAATGAAAGTATGTATCCTATCCTATCCTAATGAAAGTATTCCTATCATTTTAAAGAATGATCAGAATGTATCTATGACAAAGGGTTCTAAAAATATGGCTTC